GGTTTGCAAGCCCCGCCTCCTTCTTGGGAACCCCCACCATCCCCTTACCACCTTCACGACACAGAGATTCTGTCCAGAGGAGGTATAATTCTCTTTCCTCCTTTCTTTCCCCTCTTGTTTGATGAAAGTTGACAGGAAATTCTGGACCGCCTATTCATCATATTGACAAGATCCCACTGACCCGGCGCTAGCGCGGATATCATACGCCGTACGACCGAACATTGGCGTGGCGGAGTCGACTTCTGACAACACTAAGCAACGAAGTCGCGAGGACGAAGTTACGTGAAACAATCAAACGCTTCACAACTAACAGCGGGACCGAAGAGCTTGAAGTGAGCCCCCAGCCCTCCATTCCCTAAACCCTAGATCCCTTCATACAGGCACTCGGGCCGGTTCCTCACCCGCTCTCCCTCCAATTTCGTCCTCGCTAGCTATTGACAAGTTGTATCGTACATAGTCTAGACACTCCCTTCCTCTTTTCTACCGGACGAACCGTTCCCAAAGCAAAGGCTCGGGTTGACAGAGGCGGGCAGCCGAGAGGAATCCAATTTCCAAAAGAGGGAGTCCAGGTCACATAACAAAGGAAGCAAGGATATCAGCACCCCCCGCCATCCTCTCTCCTCACGCTGCTTTCCTCCGGCCCAGCAACACACACCGAACACTCCGCTCTACTACAACACCCATCTACACCGATTATCTTCTTCAATACGAGGTTTGTTTCTCTTCCTGCTATCGTTACTATCTATTCCACACACGCATCGCATATTTTGGAGAACGCCACCTTGTTATTTATCGTCGGATTGCAGCTTTCAGCTCGTTATCCCATCCGTCCATTGTTCTTTTCATTCACTCCTCCTTATACCCCCCCCCCCCCCTCCTTGTTCGGGTATTACGAAACTGTGGGGTCTGATAGCTCCTGTTATTTGGTGAACAATAAGCCCCTCAGTTCGACTGACGAACCGGACCTGCTCTCTGGATCCCCTCTGACTGGGCTCTCGCCCCCCAACCTACTGCTGCTTCCTCCACCTCCCTCCCTCCCTCCCTCCTTCCTTCTTCCTTTCCCTTTGCCTTTCCCACTCCACTCCCCTACCCCCCTCTTTTTCTATATTCCTATAGAGAGATCCCCCTTCCTTTATTAGTTTCTGACTTTATAACCAGAGCACTCATTTGACGGGGGCATCCCTCTTATTTCGTGAGTTGCTACCCACTCGTCTGTTCTTACCCACTTTGATACCCCAAACCATCAACCCTTCCCTCTTTACCCGATCGACTTCTTACAAACACCTGTAAATCCTCGCGCTATGCCACTTTGCAGCACTTCCAGGAAGCTAACATTTTGGGACCCGTGCTTGTGCATTAGAGGCCCTACCGGTATCTTGCCTCAGATTCTCCCAGCGCTAGACTCGCTTCCGAAACTATTTTTTTCCGTCCCTACACCTCTACTCCCTTTTAACGACACGAGGTTCTCCCTTCATTTGTCACCTTTCCTCGCCGCGCACCTTCCCGTTGTAAAATCTCGCGAACCGGCATTTGCGAGCAACAGCGGGAAGAGCGATGTCTAGACATAATTCTTCTTCAAGGAAAATTTCCTTTAATGTCAGCGACCAGTATGAGATCCAGGATGTTGTTGGCGAAGGTGCTTACGGGGTAGTGTGGTATGTTTTCTCATACTTCATCCGATCCGGGGAGGTGTTAACAATTGTCTGATCAGTTCGGCACTTCACAAACCCTCGGGCCAAAAGGTCGCAATCAAGAAGATTACACCGTTCGATCATAGTATGTTCTGTTTGAGGACACTTCGCGAGATGAAGTTGTTGAGATACTTCAATCATGAGAATATTATCAGCATTCTGGATATTCAGAAGCCAAGGAACTATGAGACCTTTACCGAAGTCTATCTCATCCAGGTTTGTGATTCGTGTACCCGGCGGATTATATTTGCTTACCTCTGCTGACCGTTAATGGGGAATAGGAGCTTATGGAAACCGATATGCATCGTGTGATCCGCACGCAAGACCTCTCGGATGACCATTGCCAGTACTTCATTTACCAGACCCTACGTGCACTGAAAGCCATGCATTCGGCCAACGTTTTGCACAGAGATCTCAAACCTTCGAATTTGTTGCTTAACGCAAACTGCGATTTGAAGGTTTGTGATTTTGGACTTGCTCGATCCGCCGCCAGTACGGAAGACAACTCTGGTTTTATGACTGAATACGTTGCTACGAGATGGTATAGAGCTCCAGAGATCATGTTGACCTTCAAGGAATACACCAAGGCTATTGATGTTTGGAGCGTGGGTTGCATTTTGGCAGAAATGCTGAGTGGGAAACCTCTCTTCCCGGGAAAAGATTGTGCGTGATATCTTATCCCATTTGTTTGGAAATTTCTTAACGGTGGTTCGGCAGATCACCATCAACTCACTTTGATTTTGGATGTTCTCGGAACACCTACCATGGAGGATTACTATGGAATCAAATCTCGTCGTGCGCGCGAATACATTCGCTCTCTTCCATTCAAAAAAAGAATTCCGTTCTCTGCCATGTTCCCCAAGACATCCGCCTCAGCACTGGATCTTTTAGAGAAGTTATTGGCGTTTAACCCTGCGAAGAGAATTACTGTCGAGGACGCTTTGAAGCACCCATACCTTGAGCCTTACCATGACCCTGAGGATGAGCCCACCGCACCGCCAATTCCTGATGAGTTCTTTGACTTTGATAGGAGAAAGGATGAATTGAGCAAAGAACAGTTGAAGAGTAAGCTTTGCCCCCTCAGCATCATTCAAGCAGGATACGGGTGATGTTGGAGCTAACCTATTTTTCCTCTCCCTTCAAGTGCTTATCTATGAGGAGATTATGCGGTAAAGGGAATACTGGATTTACTACCCCCAATGTTTGAATTAAGGAAGCCTCGGGTTTTGGTTTTTCCTTTGGGATTGATGTTTACGTCCTATATGTTTTCATTGACTGATTATACCAATCGTTTCGTATCTCGGCGATTCCTCTTACTATCCCACCAATGTTTATTTCCTCCTTTTCTTTTGCTTTTTTGTTCCACCAGGTTCGCGAGAAGGGCTTCATCACCTGCGGGAGTGAGCATATGACAAAATAAAAGTCAAATTCTCAGACAGCATACACGTGGGCTAGGGCTGGTGCTTAGCGCTCATTTGTAGGACAATTTAGTTACTCGGATGGAGTGATGTACCGCAATAGTGAGGCCTTTTATCCGTTCTCACTGCGCTTTCCCGCTTTCGTCGTGAGGAGTCTGAAGACTGAAGTTTCGATAGTTTAAGTTGGTTCTCTGATCGGGGCGGATCACTGCATGGTGCTGGAGGGATGGCTAGTGGAGTGACTGAGTATGTCCTAGTGAGTTTGCGGCATGCGTGGTAAAGAGCAATCGTCGTGGCAGCACCAGTTTGGAATACGGAACCGTAGGTTGTTGGGAATTAACTGATGATTAAACTTGCTAGAGCATAGATGTACTCGAGTATCAAGAAAAAGAAATTTGATTTAACGAGTGACTGGGGGTGTAAGAGAGAGTTGGGGAGGAGGGTCTGTTGGAGAGCAATGACGTAAATTCCGCCCCCCCCCCCCCCCTTTCCCTTGTTCCTCTGCTCCCTTTCTCCACTATTTTCCCCCTTATCATTCTCGTTTCTCCTTGACTCACCTTCAATCAACATGTCAGAGAACACGAGGGAGGTTAGCTCTCCAAATGCGCCGCCTCTCGAGTTTCTGCTATTGCAGCGAATTCCCACTTCCGCGTCAAACAAACGACACAAGCCACCCCCACTCACGGGCGAAACACCAATCGCAAAGATGTTCGCTCCTCTAGACGCTCCGCAAAGATTGCCTCTCACCGGTCGTGTCATTTCTGCTACGTGCTTTTTACCCTACACACTTGGCTATCGCCACGACGGACGGTGGGAGATCAGCAATAGAAGAGGCTCTTCTGCTCTCTATGACTCTCTCAGGAGGCTCGGCGATGGCGGTTGGGAGAGGGTGCTCGTTGGCTGGACCGGAGAGGTTCAGGAACTCGAGGGGCATACAAATGCGGAGATTGGTAGTGGCTCGGGGTCTGGAAGGATGATTGAAGCCCCAGGCTTGAAGAAGGCCAAGAGCTATCATGTTCCTCCGCCTATCCCTGTAATCGATGATGGCACGAATAGGATGACCATGAAGGGAGCATACGGGAAGAAGGAGGAAGATGACACGATCAGGATTAGTATAGAGGATAAGGCAGTCGCCGAGACCGCGCTTGCAGGGAAGGGCAAGGAGGATGGGTGGGGTGATATCAAGCCTGTCTGGTTGGGCGATGACGAGAAGGGGATGCCCATTGGTGGGGCTGGTCGGTGGAGAGACTATGCTGAGAGAGGTATTTTGTCTTTAGGTGGATATTGAAAATAACATGGATACTAACTTCAAAGTAGTTATTTGGCCATTGTTCCACTACATACTCCCTCAGCACGTTTCATCGAAGGAGGAGGCTGCTTTGGAAGAGAGGGCTTGGTGGCGCGACTACCGTCTATTCAGCGATGCCTTTGCGGATGCAATCATCAAAGTTTACAGAGAGGGAGACATTATTTGGATTCACGACTACCACTTACTCATTCTCCCGGAACTTCTACGTCAACGCCTTGGCAAAGACATTTATATTGGATTATTTGTCCACGCTCCTTGGCCGACGAGTGAGATCTTCCGCGTCCTCCCAAGGAGAAAGCCAATTCTCGCTGGAATGCTTGCTTCAAACATGGTCGCCTTTCAGTCCGAAACTTATAAGCTGCATTTTATCATGTGCTGTAAGAAGCTATTAAATTTGACGGAGAGCTCGAGCAGAGAAGGGTGGGCTACAGGAGTCAATGCATTCGGTGCGCATTGTGCAGTGGAGGCCTTGCCGATTGGAATCGATGCGGAGAAGGTTCTCAGATTAGCGAAGGGGCCCAAAGTCGCGGCGAAGATGGAGACTATCAAAAAGGCATATGAGGGTCTCCACATTATTGTTGGCAGGGATAGGCTCGATAGTGTCAGGGGAGTGGTGCACAAACTGAGGGCTTTCGAAATGTTCCTCGAGAGGTATCCGGAATTCATTGGCCAGGTAGAGTCACATTCCCACCGGTAGGAAGTCAGTCGGGAAATAACATCTGATGTTTGGTCAAAGGTTGTATTGATACAAGTAACTTCCCCGTCATCGCTCTCCCAATCCTCCACCATCGAGCATCAAGTTGCCGAACTTGTTTCCCAGATCAACGGGAAGTATGGGTCTCTGCATTATTCACCAGTGCACCACTACACACAATACCTCGAACCGGATGAGTACTTTGCACTCCTGCGCGTCGCCAATCTGGGATTGATTACTTCCGTTCGCGATGGGATGAATACCACCTCGTTGGAGTACGTCATCTGTCAGCAGGATACGCATGGACCTGTGATCCTATCGGAGTTCACGGGAACTGCCGAGAGCCTGACTGATGCAGTCATTGTAAACCCGACCAACACCAGGGGTGTGGCAGACGCAATAGCAACCTGTCTCGCGTTAACCCCCGCAGAGAAGAGCAAGCTTCAAAGCAAACTCTATGAATACGTGATCACAAACACCGTACAATCGTGGAATAGCGCCTTCCTCAGAAAACTCACCATGGAGCTCGCCTACAACCAGAATCACCCGCTCACACCAGCCCTCGACAGAAAGAGGTTATACACAATGTACAATGAGACGGAGAAGGATTTAAAGACTGGAGAAATCGGCGAGCGGATCTTCATGTTCGACTACGACGGCACGTTGACCCCCATCGTTAGCGATCCGGACCAAGCCACACCCTCTGACAAAGCCATCAGGTGCATCAAGAAGCTGGCGCAGCAAGAAGGGAACAGGGTCTGGATAATCTCCGGCCGCGACCAAGCGTTCCTGGAAAAGTGGCTCGGTCACATTGGCGAATTGGGTCTCAGCGCCGAACACGGCTGCTTCATACGCGAACCAGGTTCCGACAAATGGATCAACCTAGCAGAGACAATGGACATGTCGTGGAAGGTTTTGTGTATTGACATATTCAAGCGGTATACCGAACGCACCCCCGGTACGCCCCCCTCCCCCCCGGTTTATTGAGGAGGGAGAAAACTAACTGGAGTGAACATAGGATCCTTTGTCGAGCCAAAAAACGTAGCAGTAACCTGGCACTACCGTCGCTCTGACCAACAATTAGGCGAATTCCAAGCAAAAGAGTGTATGACAGAATTAGAATCCGTGATGAAAGAGCGAGGCTACGCTGTTGAAGTGATGACCGGCAAAGCAAACCTGGAAGTCCGCCCGCGCTTCGTCAACAAGGGCGAGATAGCTAGGAGGTTGGTGGCCGAAGCAAAGAGCATGCCCTCCATGGTATTTTGTACAGGTGACGATACTACTGATGAAGGTATGGTTCGCTTCCGCTATTCTCGAAAGTGGGAGAGGGTGGGGAGAGCTAATGGCTGCGGGGAGAGTGTTAGATATGTTTCGCGCACTCCAGAAATCAAACCTGGCTAAAGAGAGATTATTCACTGTAACTGTCGGCCCGTCGTCGAAGCCGACCGAGGCCAATTACCATCTACTCGAGCCCGAGAACGTGATTGAGTGTGTGGAGTTGCTGGTTGGGACTGTGAAGCCGATGGAATTGGGGATTATTGCCTAAGGGCTTGGGAATAGTGTAGGATACCATGGTGCTCTGGGGAAGGATATCATTCCCTTCCCTCTTTTGCCTAGCGTTTTTATTTTTAATGGGGATATCTTAGAATTGCGGGCTTGGGGGACGATTTGTCAAAAGAAGGGTACTGGCGGTAGCTATACAGTAGCTGTGGTGGCTGGTTATATATACTAGTATATACAATCACCAATTTCCCAGTCTCCAAACCCGATTTACGAGTGATCCAACATGACGTGTCCCATGCTACATGGGCGAGTCACCGTCCTAAACTCCCCAACGCCCCAACCATGACCGCAACCTCAAATCCCCCCTCCCCCTCCCCCCCCTCCCTCCCTTCCATACCCATACCTCTGAGAACACAGGTCCTAATCCCCTCCCGCAACCTCTCCTTACCAGCCCTCAGTATCCTCGCGCTAGCGCCCCCCCTAAGCATAACATCTCTAACCCTCGGCTCCCAACCCGCCGCCACGCCACGCCAAAACCCTGTCGTCAGGCGGCGCATATCGAGTTCGGCGAAGACAGCCTGCGCGAGGTCGACACCGTCGAGGTAGCCCTCAAGGGCGGTGACGGAGAGGCTACGCATGGAGACTTCTGCGAGGGCGCGGTCGAGCGTGGTTAGCGAGGTTAAGGCACGTGTGAGGAGGGCTGTGCTGGCGGTAATGTGGGTTTGCAGGAGGGTGCGGATCGATGCGTGCAGATCCGGGGGCGAGAGGAGGGAGAGGGATTGGAGCGTGCTAGAGAGCTTTTGGCGGAGGGCGGGTGGGGCGGACGGGAGGGTAGAGAAGATGGCGCCGGGTGTATGGGTGGAGGCAGTGGGGGTGGGGGTTGGAGTGTCCGGGGTGAGGAGTGAAAATGTGGTGATTATCTCCTTGGCTCGGGAAATGATATTCGACCGCGTGGGCTGGTGGACCCTTTCGTTCAGCGACTTTGCCAGGTCCACTTCCATTAGCCCTTCCCCCTGCTCCAACAACCTCCCCAGCTCCAGCAGGCTAAAGCAGCACCGAACCATCGCGCTCCACTCTCCGCCCTCCAAATCCGCCACCTGTCGTTCCACCTGCCGCGCAAGCACCACACCGCGGCTAACTTCCCGCAACACCCTCGTCGTCGCGTGTAGATTCTGCACGAGGCGGACCACCTCCTCCGCGCGGTCACTGCGGTCAACAACCTCGCGGCGCAGCCGCTCGTACGCCGTGTTTAGCGTGGCCGTTTGTGCCATCACGGCGGCGAGCAGGGTTGACGAAGCACTGGTTGTCGTGGCGGTGTGCGTTAATAGTAGGGCGGAGGAGGCGGTGGTTAGGGTGTGTAGGGTTGTATCGATCTCCTGGAGGTCGAAGAGAACACGCGAGAGGGGGGTGGTGAGGTCCAGTGGCTCGTGCGGGTGATTGGTTTGCGAGATTAATGTGCTGGAGAAGGATGTCGGGGAGAAGGTCGGGGAGAGGAGGGTTGGATAGTCGATGTACTGGTCCGTCGAGGTCATCCTGGCCGTGATGGGAGTTGGGAAGATTGAAGAATCCGTATGGGAGACTAGTTTGCTGTTTGTTCGTCTGGATCCAAAGTGATAATAGAGAACTATGGTGGAGGCTGTGAGGCCGTATCCACCGCAACCCCTAGCTCAATAGTGGGAAAACTCCGGGGCACGTCACAGCAAAAAACACATTGATCCCTTCTGCCCCTCTCGCAGCCACAACGGAACCCTCTAGCCACCGTGCTGCTGTCGCTGTTATCACCGTTAACTTAGCGTCGGATTCCCTGCGGTGTCAAGAACCCGCCGGAGGTGAAGCGAGTCTCACGAACCCCGCGATGCGGCGAACGACCTTGCCAATCGCCACACGGACTCAGTGGTTTATATGAAATGCAGTGCTGACCGCCAATCCCCGGATCGAAACGACAGAACCGTTGGATTATCATACCACGAGTTGTTAGTTGGTTGGACTTGTACTCGTACATTACACTATCAGGTGGGAAATTGGACCTTTGTTTCCCCAGGGCCAAGACCCAAAGAAGCGATGAGGCTCATCGAGCCCGACCAATATCATATCCCTTAAACCGTTTTCAAACACTGACGCTAAGGCAGCACCAGCAGCGGGAGCGGCAAACCGAGGATGTACTCGTAGCTGTAAAGGGTACTAGCATTTCTTGGGGCGCGGCGGGATTAGATTTACATAGGTCCTCCTGTTTCTGTTATGGCCATCCTGATTTTTACAAACTTTGCTACATCCCGGGCACTACTCCACTTGGGATCCGCAGAGTGTTTCCTATCACAATTACTCAAATGGACTAGTGTTCAAGACTTTAAACAGAGCCGGATTTCTCAGCGCTTTACTCGTAGGGATAGATCCAGCTTTCCTTATTGTGCCCTAGCTATTGTCGATCGCCGTGTTAGTGCCGCGCTAAAAGTGAGTGAAATTCGGGACAGACGAAGGGTTCCACTACACAAAATGAATTGTGGGTGTGCAGCCGTCCTCCTGACTGCTAAAAATGCCCATGCGATACCCTAACCCACACCGGTACTCGAGTACTTGTATGATACCGTAGATCCCCCAAGATGGGGGGAGGGGCTTGGCGCTCCTGATTTAGAAGAAAAAGTAATTATCGATTTCAAGGAGGTCGTTACTGCTCGAATTTCTGCAACGCTTGCCTTTCCCCCCACTTTCATCCTTCTGACCTTGAACTTTACCTCTCAGTTAGGAAACCAAGCCGAGCCCCTACAGTGGCGTCGGGAGAGAGAGTTCAGGAGCTAAGTTAGCGTACTCACAACCTTTTCGAAATGAAAAGTATCAAAGTGCAATGATCGGTGAATACGACCGCATCTGCACAGCACTGGATATGACAGTCTGCTGCAATCCGACAGTATCACACCGCCATGCACTCCAGCCGTAAAACCGCTCGCCACTGCTCGGGTCACCCCTTCTTCGCTCGGTGGCGACGAGACCCCACTGGGGCAGCTTGGGCGGCTCGGCGCGGGACCAGTTTTACCCACATTTTTCCTTCCATCCTTTCTCGTTTCCCTGGGTACCGTACGGGTAACGCAGGGTAGGGATAATGTATACATGTGGGTTTCCCATCCCACAAGCATGACACCTCTACCTGTGTCCCTGGGGACCGAATAGAGCCGAGGTACTCGAGTAGGGTAAGATATGGTACGTATGGTGACTAATGGTGGGATTCTGGGGGTGTGAGTATATACCGTACTGTAATGGTCTTGAGAAAGCGAGTATGATACACCAGAGGTTTACCGTCCCGGTTAGTGCGAGTATTCTTCTTTATTGTTGCGTGGCGAGGGTGTCCTGCCAGATTGGTGGCCTCGTGGGGGGTCTGGAGGTTGACGCCAAACAGTACTCGTACTTGTACAATGTATCGATGCAGCAAACCCCCGGCATGGCGAGCGCTCGCTATTTATTATATTGACTCGTCTCTGGTGGGTTATTTTGGGTTTAAATTGCAATTTGTAGAATTTGGTAGACGGGTGCTCGTTGTGCCGTGACTCTGCATGGGGAGAAACCTTGCATGGAAGTATAGTATAGTACTGGTGGTGTGAAAACTCAGAATAGTAGGGTAGTATGCACGGCCAATGGGTGGGTCCCGGTATCGTGCTCTAGGTGGTAGATTTGCCCATATTTCCTTGAGGGGGGGAGCATATTCCGATGCTTGATTCTGTTTCCGGCTCCGGCAGGGTACTTTCCTTTTCTCTTCCCTTCTCCTCTCAAAGCGGCTTGAGGGGAGGAGGTTCACTTGTGTCTGATCCAATCCTTGAGAGCGCTAAGATACCCATAAACACCGTGTAGTGCCTGAGCACGGGCGTACCGCACTCTTAGAGTGTCGTGCAGCGTGGAGATATGTCGGCTTGGTTTCACTTTAGTTCAAGATATTACGTTATGTGTCTCACGAATGAACTCGTAGATGATGCCTCGGCTTTGCGTCTAGGTCTGAAACTGCGAGAGTACGAGTGCTCGGCCACTTCCAAACACCCCAGGCCGAGCTCCCGGGTTACCCATCATACGATACATGTTGTCGTACCGGTGCATAACATGCTCATCCGCACTCGTATAGTGCTAGTAGTGTAGGGTATAGCATTTAGTTAGGGTCCTCTCCCAAGGAGAGAAGGGCGAGGATAAGGAAGAGAGAGAGAGAGAGAAAGGTCCTCCAATGGTGACGTTGAGCGTGATCAAAGTTTTCCTGATGCTGCTTGCCTCGATTGGCCACGGCAGTATGGTCCTCACCCACGTGGAGTAATTGGTGATTGGTGTATGCTTCTCATTGCGGTACCACCACATACGGATATCACCAGACCCGCCAGTGAGAATAGCATCTCCCCTCTCGGGATGGGGAAAATAAGAATACTGGCACTATCGGGGGCGGGCGGGCATGGGCAGGCGACCGACATACCGCTTTATTCTAGCTGGGCCATGGCGCTGGGATCAACAAACACTATACTATTCCGGATGAGGTTAGGAAAACAGATTGAGACTAAAGGCAATGGGGTTTAGTGGAGGTAAAAAGGTCGCGGCTGAAGCTCAGGTTGAAAATACTTTGCCATCAGTATTCTGTTTAGCGAGAACTTAACAGGAGCAACCGTGATGGCCTTTTGGAAACCATGTATGAGGGATATGTCAGTGAGGACGATGAAGTGGTGTTTCTCAGTTGGAAGCCTATATTGATACAAGCCGTGCGGAGCATGCGGGCGAGGGGACTGATAACATTACAGAAGAAGCTGCAAACACTAGGTATGATCAGATGGGCACAAGAGAACTGAGTGGATAGCAGCGAGGTAAATATTGGCAATGTCAATCATACACTGTTGCTGCGGGTCTTCTGGTATTGCTCCTAGTTTCCAGATTTAAACTACTATCTCATTTGGTCTCAGGTATATGAACAATGTACTCACTGGCATACGGCCGATTGAAACTGCACACCCTTATAGTGGTGATCACTGAGCCAATGAATCTACTCCTCGCAAGTACTAAGGTATCTGGTGCGGTTATGTATACCGTACACCTTAGTTGTAGCATATTCAGCCAAAGAGGCACTTGTGTAGCTCGGTCTGGGGACATGATTTATCAAAAGTGTAAAACTTGAATATTTCATAACAAGCTTTACAGGTTAACACCATGGGATGGAGGGAGCACTTTTAAGGACTACAATCTAGATTACACGAGTATTTGGCAGTTTGTAAAGCCAAATACTAAGATAATATTGGTAAAAAAATTATATTTTATATAATAATATTATAGTAGTGAATAATGATGTGCATTATGATAATATATAAGTATAAATCAACTTGAAGCTATAACATTAAGTGCATGAGAAAGAAGTATCAGGAGTTCATTATATATTGTAGAAAAATTTCCCTAATTAAGTAGTTTAAATCTATAGAACAGTCATTGTAATGAATAATTATTTATTTATATATAGAAAATATAATATATAAATCTATAGTTAATATAGAGAATAGTTAGTTCCAATTGCTATCTACTGAAAGTTTGTATGAATTTGACTCTGAAAAGATTTGTCTTGCTTGGACTACAGTTTCCATAAGCTGTTATCATTCTCGGGAGTGGTTTTAGAACCTCTTTCATAAAAGCTTATGATTCCTTTATCTTTGAGGTTCCAGTTACATAAGTGGCTGTTACACATAGAAGCGTAATCGGTGCGGCACATGACTAAATGCATAAAGTCACATGTTCAACTCCGGGCCCCGCCATAGTATTCGTAGCGCTAAGATATTAGCGCATGATATGACAAGGCATCTATGCAGCCCGCTCCGCGGAGATACGAGGCATGCGAGCGAGGGGTTTTCACTGGATAACATAGAAGAAGCTCCGCTCTACAAGATAAGACTTAGTTGGTTCAGATTGGTCGGTTAGTTATTGAGCTACGACCTCTGCAAGTCTACATGCAATTACAAGAAGTAATATGCATGTCCCGTCAGCTCGCGTAAGCTAGAGTCATCCAGAAGACCTAGTTACGATTGGTTAATAACAACTCACTGGTCGAGTTAGTTATCATCATCATGCACTCTAAGCTATGCACATAGAAGAGTCATTGATAAGTCCTTTGACGGAGCTGATCACTCCACTCAGGAAAAGAGCAGGGAAGTTAGTTTTCAGGGTCAAATGGAGTTCGCACTCCAAGGACACTGAAGCGTTAGTATGGCAGGTACATAGTCAGTAAGGGATTGGATGTAGGCCGCGACCACTCAGACGCAGACTATAAATATCAAGGTGCCTCCCTAGCTTTAAGTCGAGGAGGTACAAAGGGCCCTGTCCAAGTCCTCAAACTCTTCTGCTCCAGGGCCGGACCAGATCCCCTATGGGGTCTGGAAGAAGGTCCATGCGGCTAACCCCTCCCTCCTCGTTAATCTTCTCTCACCTTTGCTATCTTTCGGCTTCCACCCTCCCTCCCTCAAAAAGGCCAATGGGGTTGTCCTGTCTAAGCCAGGGAAACCAGACTATTCCTCCCCCGCCTCCTTCCGTATTATTGTCCTCCTCCAGACTGTTTCGAAAATCCTGGAGAGGATAGTTGCCTCTCGCCTGTCCCTGGTTGCCCGCGTGCGGGGCCTAATCAACCCAAACCAATGCGGCTCACTCCCCGGGCTTAGCACCTATGATGCCTGCGCCGCCCTCACCCACGAGATCCGCTGCCTCCAGAGGCCCGGGCTC